ACTTTTAGAGCATACTTTTAGGCACTCAAATGGCATTAAAATGAAGTTCGAGGATGCACCGAGTTTAGAGGAGGAACCGGTGCAGTCTTTTGGGTTAAAAATGTATGCATTTTCGAGGCACAAAATTAATGTTTAATCAACAAAGTGGCAATATCCCACACTCTGGCTGGCCGGGCAGGACATTTGCAGAGGCCTCCGTCGTCGTCAGGCATGTGGAAAACTAGCGAAATTGCATCAAAGAAACGAAAATATTTGCAATGCGTTGGGCAAAAAAAAAAAATTAAATAAAATGATATGTATATATATATAAAAAAAAGAAGCGTAAAATTAAGGGAGCGTAGGAGGGCGTAGGAGACATATAAAATTGGAAACGGATAATGCAAACAGCAAATTAAAAACCGAGAGGATACTGCATATCCTGGTGGTACCCCATCCGGCGGGTTAATGTTTGGGCATTCCGCTAATTGAAAGCCACTGCGCGCCAGAGAGTGCCGCCTTTGCGCTTTGCAGCCCCAAAGACAAATATTGGATGGACCGCAGCTTTATGCATATTTAAAATCAATTAAGTCAATAAATAATAAGGACAACCTTAATGGCAATTGCATATGAAATCCGTTCGTAACCAGGGGTCAAGATACGAGCTTAACCCGCCCCAGTCAGGTGGCCGATTTGGGGCCGGTGGCTCCAAGTTGGGTAGGTGGGTGGTGTTGCATCAGAATACGCTTCAAGGGTCTTGCCCCAAACGGGAATGAAACCAAAAACGTTGCATAAACATTGTTGCCACAAATAAGAGTGTTGCACAAAAAATATACCTTTCGACTTTATTTACTGGGTAGTTGGTATAAATGTAAACAGTTTCTTGGAGGGGGTTTTTAATAATTTTTAGGGTAATTTTTATAAGAAACGGGCAAGCGGACATGCGGACAGACGAAAAGGTTGATGAAAAAGTCAAAAGACAGGCAGAAAAATTGATAAATCAAGTTATATTTGATAAGGAATACTTTTATCTTTAACTTTCTTATCTAAATTCCTATCTGAAAGCCTATAACTAGCAAGAAATTTTAACGGACACGCGGACAGACGGACAACCTGTCCAGAGGAAAGACGAAAAAACTGACTATTCTAGTTATATTTTTTTAAAAGCACTAGTATCTATAACAAATATAACTAATTTCCTACAAAAAGGAGGACAAATCTATATTATTCTTAACGCGGACACGCGGACACACGGACAAGATGATAGAAAAATATTTAGTTTTGGTTTTGGATAAGAAATACTTTGAACTACAACCTCTTCGCTGAATTTCCCACAAACCAACAAAAAACTATCTAAAACCTCTAACGGACACACGGACACCACGTTACATAATTCCCCAATAACCGAAATACCCACCAAACTCAACCCAAAATACCGTGGATAACTAATACAAAGCAATCGCCGAAGCACGCCAACCAAAAATGCACTCGGCCACAAAATCTGAGGACAAAGCAGACCACAGGACCCTCGTCCTTTTGGGTTAAGTGGAGCAGCCAACCTGCCAGTCGGGCAGCCAGCCAGCCAACCAACCAACCAGCCAGCCAAGCGAAATCAAACGAAACAATCGAGCTAAACGGCTACAGCTACAGGTTCGCAATCCGAAAACCAAAAAAGAAACAAAATGTTTTTTTTTTTTGGAAAAAAAAACCAACAAGGAGTAAGGAACAAAAAAAAAGGAGTAACAATTTGCAACAAAGATGATGCAAGACAAGCAACAAACACGGAACGTAACCCATTCCTTGATATCCTTTTTTTGGGGGGAGTGGGGAAGGATTTCATTCATGACGATGAACTCGTAGCCAGTCAGTAGCGTCAGTCAGTAGCATGTCCTTGTACCCCAAACATACATACATATATACTCCTCACACTCTATATGACTCCAGACTGCCAAAAACTCCCGTGTCCTGTGCGTCCTTTTGTATGTATGTATGTGTGTGTGCATCTTTTTGCTTTCGTTTTAGAAAACTCACACGACACTCAACACACTCCTCACCGAAAAAGAAACTGCAACGAATCAAGGACGAATTTTTTGGCAATTTTTTTCTGGAGCCTCCTCATGGAGCCTCTCACATCTGTGTATATGTGTGTGTGTGTGTGTGTTGTGTCCTTTTGGCTTTGTTTCGAGACCCGAACCAGAACTGGGGAAAAAAAAAAAAACAACATACTCGTCCTGGACTCCAGGACTCCAGGAGTGGTGTGTTGCTCCTTTTGTGGCATACGACGCGACGATACGAATTGCAGGCAGGATGCGATTCTTTCTTTGCCATTTTTTGCATGTCGACGACCCAGTCGCCAGTCGTGTTTTGCCGGCAATGGTTTTTTCTTCTTGTTTTTTGGAAGTCGACCCAAATAACAAAATATATATTTCGAAATAAAAATTGTGGCAGGTGAAGGTTCGACAATACTCATTAAGGAGTCACTAAAAAGCAATGGGTATGGAATGGATATTAAGTTCATACCCATAGTCCCACACTATCAATCTATCATGAAGTAGTCCTCATGCATATGTGATAAGGATCCAGTATCCTGTATTCTTGGCTAAGCCGCAACAAAGAGCCAAAAAAAGAAAAAAAAAAAAAGAGAAACCAAATCACAAATCCCGGTTTGTAAGCCAATTTGCACTTAGGCTTATCTAATGTCGTATCATTTGTATAATGCTCTGTTTTTCTGGCCTGATACTTGATGTTCTGATGCCCTGATGCCCCTGTATACCCCGACAGTCAATATCTTGTCCCGCCTTATCCTGCGGGGTTCATTTCTAAGCTCATTTATGTTTATCACAAATGCGTGCCAAAGTGTGTCGTTATTCTTTCCAAAAACCCAAACCCAAACCCAGCCCTCGATATCCTTCTCACTGTTGCTTCCACGGGCGTGTGAACAAAAACATTTCAAATATTCAAAAGAGTAGTAGTCTCGAGCTCTCACACACATGTGAGTCTGTGTGTACTTTTATATCCTTGAAGGAGGAGGTGAAAACCCCTCGATGTGGGGTTTTTGTACTCAACTAGTCGGGACATGTACTGGCCATAGAAATTCATCTAACGGCTGTAACAGGTAATTGAACTTGGTTATATGGCCCATGGAATGGCATTGCGCGCTTTTTCCACCAAAATGGAAATGTGAAAATGTGTCCTGGTTGGGGTTGGGTACTGGGCGTACTACACAAGATATGCTGAAATGTGGAAATGTGTAAGAAATGTTGAAATGGAAATGGAATTGAATGACGCTCGCGTATCGTGTGCCAAATGTGACGTTCCTTGGTGGTGTCCTTACGAGTCGTCCTTTGCCATCCTTGCTCTGTCGACTGCCGCGTGCCAACTATATAATGCGGGCATAAAAAGGATTTGCACACCAGAGCATAGCATCAAGCTTGTAGCATGTGTAAGTAAGCTTTCAGGAAGAGCAAGGGTGTGAGGATGAGGATGGTTGGAATATATCCTTACAAAGCACATCCTTGGAAATTGCAAATTGTGTGAGCCATAGTTAGATGCGTAGCAGATTTTTTTTGGCCAACTGTTGAACTGTTGAATTATTCATGGCCGACTGGAGATTTGTGCCGAAACATCCGAGGGGGGCTAAGCGCATTTGATGCCGATTTGTGGCACGCATAACTGTAAATCGCCCCCAAAGCCAATACTTAGAGGCTAGAGGAGTGCACTCAAAAAAAAAACCATCAACAAACATCAGAATAAATCAGAAACAATAACAGCAGCAAAAAAAAACCAAAAAAAATAAAAGAATATAAAACGAATTGCAACATTGCCGACATTTTCTGTCATCACTGGGCGCCTGGTGGCAAGTGGCATGCAGCATGTAGCATATAGCATGTGGCATATGGCTTGGTTTGGGGCATGTGAGTGTTTGCCTCGAGTTTGGTGACTGGTTTTAGGGGTCTTTCTTTCTTTTGTTGCATCCATAACCCAACACCCGTACACCCGCCCACCCAGCACATCCAGCACATGCAGCACAGCACAACAGGTGGCACCTACTTCTGGGCAGACAGACAGACACACACACACCCACCCACTCAAAGCAATGATGCAACCAGCCACATGACGACCCACTGCCCATGCTTGCCACCTCCAACTTGCCACCACACACACAGAGCCTGACTGAAGCCTGAAGGACGTTCGGCATTGGGCGGAAAAGTGCAGTTTTTCTTCATTTTTTATCCAAGCATGCTTTTTGTCCAAGCATGCTTTTTGTCCAAGCATGCTTTTTTCGATTTTTGTGGCTTTTGCTTTTCAGTTTTTTGGACAATATTCTTTTGCAACCGAAGGCATTCTCAGATAGTCCTCTAAACGTTATATTTAAGGCCTTTTTTAAGCATGCTTTTTTGAAGTATGCTTTTTGTTCAAGTATGCTTTTTTTAGGGATGCTTTTTCTAATTTTATTTACTCTGTGTGTTGGCTTATAATACGTATTTTCTTTTGAAACCCAGTGCAATCTCAGTTATTCCTAAAAAACGTACATTTAAGACCTTTTACTAAGCATGCTTTTTTGAAATATGCTTTTTGCCCAAGCATGCTTTTTCCGCTGTTTTTCTGTCAATATGTTTTCTGCCTTTTTTTCCTGTTAGTTTTCTAGCCAATAAGTTGCTTTTTCTTTTTAAAACAGAGTGCATTTCTAGATAGCCTCAGAAAACGAACTCTTCACTTTTTTCAAAGCATGCTTTTTCAAGAAAATTTTGTTGGTAAGCATACTTTTTCCAATTTTTAGTATGTCTGTATGTTTTCTGTACTTTTTTTTAGCCAATTGGTTGATTTTTCTGCTTATAATCCTTAAAATCTTTAATTAAAGACCCCTTTCAAAGCATGCTTTCTTTAAGCATCCTTTTTCTTAAAAAATAACACCCAAAACAAGTTTTTTAAAAATATCTATTTATTTTTTAATGTCTATTGGCTTTATATTTAAGAGTTAATCATATTTTTAAGAGTTAATCATTTACAAAAGTAGATGGTTCTTAGCCTGCATTCTGGAAACTGGCCACGTCACTCATCTCCAGTGGCTTCCACTGGATGGCGACATGTTTATGGACATCATCCTCCTCCTTGTCGCATCCGCTTCCAAAACAGCTGGGCTTCTTATGATTATCAGCTGGGTCTACAAAGTAATTTACAAAAAATATTCATTTAAAATTTAACAATAATTTTTTAAAGAATGCAAAGTATTAATTACCATATTTGTGGTCATGATCCTCGTCACAGGACTTGGGGCAGAACACAATCTTTAGGTCGATGGGCTCGTACACCTTCACAATGAGTTGGGGCACCTTTTCGGTGGAGAGTTCATCGTCCGGTGTGGCAACTATTGTGGAATGTTCAGAGAATGGTCTCGTTTCAGTTTGATTTTGGTTCACTGGGTGGCCGGCAGTGGCGATGGGAGTTAGGTGAACGGTTTGGTTTTTGGCCAACAGCAGCCAGGGCTTACTGTTTACAGTCAGCACCTCTTGGCGCGGCCTATGTGATGGATTCTGTTTAGATGGACTTGTGGCTGTGGCACTTTCTTTGAGGGTTTTTAGAATTCTAGATGATTCTGTTGTGACTGTGGGTTGTCTTCTTGGAAGTGTTTTAGTTTCTACATTTTCGTTGGAGATTCTTAAAGATTTTGTAGCAAATCTTCTAGAGATTGTAGCTGTTGTTGGTGTAGTTGTTGGAATGTTTCTTAATGGAAGAGTTGTGGATCTTAAAGTGGGTTCTTGTCTTTCAGTTTGGTTTTCTACATTATTGGTAGAAGTTCTTAAAGATTTTATAGAAAATCTTTTAAAGATTGTAGCATTTGTTGGTGTAGTTGTTGGAATGTTTCTTAATGGAAGTGATGTAGTTTTTATAGTGGCTTCTGGTGTCTCAGTTTTGAATTCTACATCTTTGGTAGAAGTTCTTAAAGATTTTATAGAAAATCTTCTAAAGATTGGTGTTGTTGAAGGTGTAGGTGAAGTTGTTTGTGTAACTGTTGGTATCGCTGTTGGTTTCAAAACTAACGAAGAACTTGTAAGCCTCAAAGGTTGACGAAGGGGTTCTGCTACTCCTTGAAACAGGACATTATCACTCAAAGCTTTGACTTCCGAAGACACAACTTCATTTTGTTGTAAATTGAAAGACAATTCAGGGATTATGTGTCTCTTGGCAGGAGCTACTGTTGGTTTAACTATCAGCTTGGATTCAAGATTCTTAGCTTCTGGTTCTGTCTTGGAGGATATGGGTTCATCTTCCATATAATCCTCATCTTCATAGGATTCTGAGGAAGTTGAGTTCTTAGCTACTACAGCTGGTCTTAGTGTGGTGGTGCTTGAGATCTGAGGTTCTACTGTGGTGGTGGTGGATGTTGTAGAGGTCGTGGAGCTTGTAGAGGTCGTGGAGCTTGTGGAAGTTGTGGAGGTTGTGGAGGTCTTGGAGCTTGTGGAGGTTGTGGGGGTTGCCGAAGTTGTTGTGGTGGTTGCCTCTTCTGTTTGATACAATCTCTGCTTGAGCAAGTTTAGTAAAAGACTCTTGCGTTCTTCTAGACTCTTCGCTCCACTTGGTATTTCATTCTCCGCATCCGCGGGCTCATCATTGGCGTAATCCGAGCTTCCGGACTCGTCTTCATACTCGGGCTGGGCAGTACTGGAAGTGGTTGGCTTTGGCGTAGTTGTAGTCTCTTCTGGCTTCTTCTCAGTGGTTGTGGTGGGCTGAAGAGGCAGCACCGCAGCCACCGTGGTGCTAGCCGCCTTGGCGGAAGCCACTTCAGTTTCCTCATCGCCGTACTGCTCCGCCGTATCCTCGTCGTAGTACTCAGAGTCCTCTGGAATGCCATTTTCCCGGCTGCTAGTCGTATTCAGGACCCTCGGCTGCAGGCCAATGGATCGTTTCTGGGTGGAGGCCAGCTGCTTGATGGACAGCCTCAGGGAGTGGGCGATGAAAGGCTTCGATGTGGCCAGATTGTGGCGCGCCATCTGGGCCAAGGTCAGCCGGGGAGTGGTCGGCGGGGTGGGCGTGGTGGAGATCACATGGAACAGCCGCCGCAAAAGCTGAGCCGCCGCCAGTGTGGACAGGGTGGTGGTGGGCAGCTTTGTGGTGTTCTGTCCCGAGGATCCACTCTCCGCCGATCCATCTTCCCGGGGGCCATCGTCCATGTAGTCTGGACTCTGCCCCACTCCGCCGGAGATGAGGTTCTCCCCCAAAACACTCTTGCCGGCGGGTATCTTAGTGTGGATGTGTGTTTCTTGGTTTTGTCTGAGTGGTTGTTGCTGTGGTGGTTGTGGCTGAAGTGACTCGGTCTGTTGGATTCTAAGTGACTTCAGAACTACTTCTGATGGACGTGTGCATTTGCTTTGTGTGTTTGTGTCTGTAAGGCAAGTGTTCTTCAGTAAATGCTCTTCACTTTCCAGCAAAGTCATGGAATGTAAGTCATACTCCCTGGGGAGGTCTTTATATCTTACCTGAAGTGTTGTCCGAATCGGGACAGTGTGGTTTGGTGGTCAACTCGGTGGTGGTGGTGGTGGAGCTACTGGAACTTGGAAGAATTGTTGTTTTCTTCGTTGTCGTTGTCCTGGCAGTGGTTGTCGTCGGTTTCAGTGTCGTTGTTGTCACAGTCGAGGGCTTTGGTGTCGTTATTGTCACTGTTGTTGGTTTAGGAGTGGTTGTTGTCGGTCTCTGGGTGGTTGTTGTCTTGGGAGTCGTTTCTGTTGTCTTCTTAGAAGTTGTAGAAGAAATGGTTGTCAGTTTGGTAGTCGTTGTTGGCTTCGGAGTGGAAGTCGTGGGCTTTGGTGTTGAGGTTGTGGGTCTCTGAGTAGTTGTCGTTGTCTTCTGGGTAGTACTCGTCACTGTTGTTGGTTTCTTAGTCGTAGTTGTTGGCTTTGGAGTGGTTGTGGTCGTAATGGTGGTTGTCTTCTGAGTCGTAGAGGTCTCGGTTGTAGGTTTTGGAGTTGTTGTTGTCTTCTCGGTAGTTGTAGGCTTAGGAGTAGTCTTTTCAGTAGTTGTAGGCTTAGGAGTCGTCTTCTCTGTGGTTGTGGGCTTAGGAGTTGTCTTCTCAGTGGTTGTAGGCTTAGGAGTTGTCTTCTCAGTCGTTGTAGGCTTAGGAGTAGTCTTCTCTGTGGTTGTGGGCTTAGGAGTTGTCTTCTCTGTCGTTGTAGGCTTAGGAGTAGTCTTCTCAGTGGTAGTAGGCTTGGGAGTTGTCTTCTCGGTAGTTGTAGGCTTGGGAGTTGTCTTCTCAGTGGTTGTAGACTTGGGAGTTGTCTTCTCAGTCGTTGTAGGCTTAGAAGTAGTCTTCTCTGTGGTTGTGGGCTTAGGAGTAGTCTTCTCTGTAGTTGTGGGCTTTGGAGTAGTCTTCTCTGTGGTTGTGGGCTTAGGAGTCGTTGTTTTTAGAGTCGTCGTTGTTGGTTTCTGTGTGGTTGTCGTCACTGTTGTGCTTGTCTTGGTCGTTGTTTTTGGTTCAGCGGTGGTTGTCTTCTTGGTGGTTGTCGTTATTGGGTTAAGCGTGGTCTTAGGCTTCTCTGTCGTACTAATAGTTGTCGTTTCCCTCTTGGTTGGTGTCGGTTTCTGTGTGGTTGTCGGCTTCTCAGTGGTGGTTGTCGGCTTCGGAGTAGTCGTAGTTGGTTTCTGGGTAGTTGTCGTTGGTTTCTCAGTAGTAGTTGTCGGTTTAGGAGTCGTAGTCGTTGGTTTATGAGTTGTGGTTGTTGGCTTTTCGGTAGTCGTGGTCACTGTAGTGGTTTCCCTCTTTGTTGGAGTGGGTTTCTGTGTGGTAGTAGCCTTCGTAGTCGTTGTAGTTCTCACTGTCGTGGTCGTTGTAGTCTTTTCAGTAGTTGTTGTGGGTTTCTTAGTTGTAGTCGTGGGCTTTTCAGTCGTGGTGGTTGTCGTCTTCTTAGTCGTAGTTGTTGTTGGCTTCGGAGTCGTCGTTGTAGGCTTTGGAGTCGTGGTTGTCGTTGTCTTCTCGGTTGTAGTTGTGGTGGTAGTTGGCTTCTTGGTGGTCGTACTAGTTGTTTCTGGCTTCTTGGTCGTACTCTGTGTTGGATGTGTGGGGCAAGTAACCACTGGAGCCGTTGTCGTCGTCGGAAGAATCACAATATTCTCGGATAAGCTCAAGCCCTTCAGCGACTTTCGGGCTTCCCTTTTGGGAGCCTCTGTGACCTTCTCTTCCTCAATCTTGGCCTTGGTGTACTTCACGTACTCGTACTTTTTCGTTGTCGTCGTGGGAAGAATCACAATGTCCACGTTCTCTGGGATAGTCTCCTCCTCCAGCTTCAGACTCTTCAGAGCGGGCTCTTCCTTGCTGCTGGTATGATGGGACTTTTCGTAGGAAGGATAATAGTAAGGATACGAGTATGTGGGATGGTTGGGCTCTGCCGTCGTAGTAGTGGTGGGGCTGGTGGTGGTGGGCGTGGTGGGCAGGATGACTATGTTGACGGAAGGCTTCGCAAAGCTCTTGGCACGATCCGATTTTAGGACAGCGGTCTCCTGCTCCTTGCCCGCACCCGCACCCGTGTCGTAGTCATCCTCGTAGAGCGGCAGAGCAGCCGGATAGGGCGGGTAGTAAGGCAGTGGCGCAAAAGGACCCGGCACCGGACCCGGGACATAATCAAAGCACTCCACCTCATTCCATGGTCGACACAGCTTCTTGTCCAGGTCGAAGCTGTTGCTGCCCGGGCACTTGAACCTCGTCTGCAGGAAATTTCCGGTTTCCTTTTGCAATCGGCAAGTGTAGTACAAGGCGCAGTCCGTCGGCGAACGGAAGGTGCCCTCCTCGGCGCACTCGGGGAACTTCAACTCACAGTTCTGTGGAATGTAGCTGCCGCTGTCGGAGATCTCTGTCGAGGGGCACTGGTCCCCGGGCAAACACTTCCTCTCCAGTGAGGAGAATACCGTGCCCTCCGGACAGGCAAAGAGCCACGGTTCTGTTTGATTTTTGTGGCAACGATAGTACACTTTGCAGTCATGTGGATGCGGGAAACGTCCCTCTTTCTGGCACGTTGGTCGGTTCAGGGGCAAGTTAAGAGACTGAATCTGTTGCTGGACACATCTTCCACTGCTGGGATTGAATTTCTACAAAAGAATAGCGAATCCTTATACTTAGGGGAGTTCTTAAATGAAATTTTAATAATAAACTCACTTCGTGGTTGGGGCATTTGCTGAAAATCACACAGTTTGGCTGACAAATGTAGTAATACTGCTGCTGGTCGGGATGTGGTTTAATACCCACATAGTTACGAGAGCAGCGATTGTTCTTTAAAGAGTTTTTTTCAAAAATTAAACCTCATTCTTTTTAGTTATCCTTTCAACTTACATAATCGTATCTAACTGGACTTCCGCCACCCGGAAAATCCTTAAAGACTCCATAGACATTGCCATAATAGGCGGCTGGTGCCGGACTATAGACCGGTGGTGGGGCCTGGTATCCGTAGCCGTAGGGCAGTGGGGCATGATGATAGGCCGGATAGGGTGCCGGTTGTCCGTAATATCCGGGATGGTAGCTACCAGAGACCTGACGCACCGAACGACCAGTGACCTGGACGAGCACAGCCACAAGGCCAAGCAGTGTCGACCAGAGGCACTGCATCTTTGTTATTTTTTTTTTTTATTAGCACTTCACTTTTTTTTTTAACTAATTGTGTTTTTTTTTTTTTTAGATCCTAGAAGAGCATTTGTGTTGAAAGTTAATGTGTCTCCTGTGTTGCAAGCGAAACTGCAACGGCAACTGGTGACTTTGAGCGGTGCGAGCTCGCTTAAAAGGTCTTTGGGGCTGGCTGGGGTACTGTCCGTTTCCGAGAGTGTTGCATAACTCGAATGCCGATCGAAAGCGGCGTGATTTAAGTACGGCAACTGGTGTTATTACCCAAAGAGACCCGTAACCCGCTCCGGAGAATACTCTCCCAGCCACGTGCCAGAGACCGGAAGAGAGTCTTTTGCATGCATGTACCAATAACCAGAGAGTATTCTTGTCGCATGTACTTCCGCACCGGAGATGTCCATAGTTCTTCTTTTTGTTTTTCATCTCCAAGTGGTATGAGTAATCTTAAATTCAACAGATTACGTGATTTGGGCCTCTAGACATAGTACAAGTATTACCAAAAATTCTCTTAAAATGCACGCAATTGTTAAAAAATTAAGAACGTTGATCGATTTGCCAAAAATCTTCCAGACTTCAAGGTCATTTAGGTATATATTTTTTTTTTTTTTGGTTTTTTTTTTTAAGTTTTGTTTATGATTCTTACACGTACATGGGGCTAAGTGATGTGAGGGAGTTACGCATCCAAAAAAATATTCCAAAATTCGTGGTGCGTCATTTAAACACGTTCTAGGTTTTACCGGAAAGGTAGTACCTACCGAAGCCTATTTAATGCATAAGACTCTATAATATCAGGCACGTTCTCGAAAAACAGGAGCTTTGGGAATTTTAGTTTGGTAATATCTTAAAAGACCCTCCAAAAAAATTGGAATTTCCCCATGATTCATTATAGAACTTACTTTCAAAAAAAGAGATATATATTCTATAAGTATCTTTTAAAAAAAAAACACAGGTGTTAAGGGTTTACAAGAGATAATCTTTATTCCATGTGCGTGCAATTTTTTAGATTTTTTCCATTCCGGAAATGATTGTGAAAAGAATACTATAGATACGGATAAAGAGAATGTCCGGTGCTTGGATTCCCAACTTCTTTAATGATATCTATGTATATGGAAGACTCCCATCACTTGGATAGGTATTCCATAGCTACGTGATAATCGAACGGCTCTTCGAAGCTGATTTTTTTTTCAAATCTTCGAGAAAGAAAAAAAAAATAAAATGGAGCCAGACATCCATGTTATCTAGTATCTGGGCATGTCATCGATGTTGGACAAGAACGACACTAATCATCTTTAATCTGAATTCTTCGCAATTCTTTGCGATTCTTCGAAGTCTTTTGGATTCAAACACGTCTTGCCAGAAGAATTTGGGATGAAAAGAGACTAAAACTAAGTCTTCATTCTTAAGACATTCAATGAGCTAGCCGGCATTACTCAGATAAACAATTCTTCAAAAAAACACAAAAGAGAGATGTTTTTTTTTTACAAATCTACAAAGACTGGGTTTGAAACTTGGCTACAAACTTCGATCTTTCAATTCTTCATTTAAAACTTACTTAGCCAAGACACTTCTTTAACTCACAAAGCTTAACCGTAAGTAAGAAAGAGCCAGATAGCTGAGCAATTCTTTGAAGAATTCAAAGGTTCAAAGCTTGGCTAACGATCAAAGCCAAGCCAAGACAGAAACCGGAAACTATAACCGCAATTAAAAGCTCTCTAGCTCCAAGCTCCTAAAGAAAAGCTTGTGCCAAAAAAAAAAAATACAAGGTTCCCATCCTCATCCCCATAGATCCCGGGAAAAAGTAGAGGTACCCCCACTCACCCTCTATAAAAAAGGGAGGAGGGTGGAGGGGGGAGGGGGTACATCTCTTAAGTATGAAACTATTTCCAAAGAGAAGCGCCAAAGAGAAACCCTGCTGCGAAAAAAATGAAATCCAAGAGTCGAAGCAAAGAAAAAGTTAAGAAAAGTTTCCTAGAGGGGGGTGGGTGGAAAAATGAGGAAAAGAAGAAAAACGATTCCCGACAGTGGCGTAGAGTGGCAAGGGGACGGGGGCCTGCCACCAAAATAAACAGTAGCAGTAACGACAGCGACGCCGGCAGAGCGCCAGCAGAGCGTCAGCAGCCAAGAAAGGGGGAACGAGAAGGAGCCTTTCGGCTACACTTGTATTGGTGAGTGACTGTGTATTGGTATTGGTGTATCGGCGACGTCGCTGTCAACGTCAGCGTCAGCGTCGGCGTTGGCGTTGGCGTCAACGCAGCCAGTGAGTGGGTGTATTTGTAACTGTAAGAGTCTGAATGTGTGTGTGTGGCAAGTGCGTAAGGCTTCATCCCATGTGGGCAGACTTTCACTCTCGTCCTTGCTGGCTTCGTCTCTTGTATTTTTTTTTTGCGTTTCTTCTTCTGTAATTTTTTTTGTTGCTTTTGCCATCAGGACGAGGAACGAAGGGGGGAAGTCCTGCTGGCTAAGCTAGAAACAAAAAAAAAACCCAGGACCCAGGACCCAGAACCCAGAAACCAAGTGATGAATTTCCAAGGCAAAGGTAACAGGTAACAGGTGAAAAAGGAACAAAAAGGACCAGCTCTGACGACCTTGAGGAAGCATCATCCCAACACCCACCCCCTCCATGTTGTCTGAGATGGACCGGGCAGACATTGTTCTTGGAATGGAAACCCAAGCAGAAGGCAGAAGCTCACAGGACTCGCACACAGGACTCGGTTCTAATTACACCAACAGCTGACACACACGCGTGGCGGCCCCCCCTCAAAAAAAAAATATGTAAGAAAAGAAAAGCCCAAAAAACCACCTGTAGGCCATTGACCACCCCTTATTTTTTTAAGAGGGGGGAGTGCCTTTTCTTAATATACTCTTGAAGAAGGTATTACAAGGAAGGAAGTATTATCCTTTCCTCCTATAAGGAATAAATATTTATTATAAAAAGACTTGTCTAGAAGTCCTTTCTAAATAGTCTCAGGACCTTGTCAAAAATCCTTAAAAAAAAGTGTATCTTTTAGAACGACTTTATCTAGTAGCTAGCCTTCCTTTCTTCTTTTTTCTTTTATTTTTTTGTGTCTCTGCCAGAAGGATTTTCTCGCGCTTAGCTTTCTTATTTCTTTTCTTTTCTTTGGCTTTTCTTTTCTTTTCTTTTCTTTTTTTTTTGTGGCACGGCTAGCTATTCTCAACAGGTTGCCACACAGTCTCCGTAAGTGGGCGTCCATGTGTGTGTGTGTGTGTGTGTGTATATTAGTGGGATGTCCTTGTCTGCCTTAAGAAGACTCTCCACAGCTTCACAGCTCTACCCAAGTGACCTTGGGCGCCCGACTAAGGCTAAGTGCTGTCATGGCAGCAGTCGAAACACCCTCCCCACCCCCACTCAACACCACACCACACCACGCCCCCCGACACCCCATCCCGTACACATCCTGTCTGGGGCAGTAATCCTGGCAACCAGACATGTGTGCTTGCGTGTGTGTGGCGCGTGTCCTGGATGTGTCGCTGTGACGGCGACAACAACAACAACAAATCGAATCAAGTGGCTCGGCGCGAGACTGGCTAGATGTCCTGGGAGTGTCCTGCCTCAAGAAATGTCCTGCCCCATGCATTCTAGCCTGGCCCATTTCCCAGATAGCCCTCCCCACGATTAAGCGCTCCCTGATTTATTGTCCCTATCGGTCAAATGCGGCTTGATGTGTTAATCGCATTGGCAGGGCAGGTCCTGCCAGGATACGGATACGCCCTAGGACACGCGGATGCACGAATAAAGGATAACTATTTTGCACAGCTAATTTTGGAAAAATTATGAATCCCATTTGTGGATTTATTTGTGGACTTCTCTGACTGTTTTTTAAATTTTGTTTGGGAGGTTTCCCCAAATTTCACTGTTTTTGGCATATAGCCCTCTGGGAAGGCCATATCTTGGCCAATTCTCATCCGATTCTTGGAAGGAGTACCTTAAACGATTTGTGTATCGATTCTCCACTATTCTGCATCAAAACCTGGCAACAAAATATTTTTTTGATTTTTTTCATATTTTTCCTGGGGAGACCCGTGCAGAAAGTGCGATTTTGGGGTATGGCCCACTGGGAAGGCTATATCTTGGCCAATTCTCATCCGATTCTGGCGAGAAGTACCTTAAACGATTTGTGGATCGATTCTCCACCATTATGCATCAAAACCTGGCAACAAAATATTTTTTCGATTTTTTTCATATTTTTCCTGGGGAGACCCGTGCAGAAAGTGCGATTTTGGGGTATGGCCCACTGGGAAGGCTATATCTTGGCCAATTCTCATCCGATTCTGGCGAGAAGTACCTTAAACGATTTGTGGATCGATTCTCCACCATTATGCATCAAAACCTGGCAACAAAATATTTTTTCGATTTTTTCATATTTTTCCTGGGGAGACCCCTGCAGAAAGTGCGATTTTGGGGTATGGCCCACTGGGAAGGCTATATCTTGGCCAATTCTCATCCGATTCTGGCGAGAAGTACCTTAAACGATTTGTGGATCGATTCTCCGCCATTCTGCATCAAAATCTGGCAACAAAATATTTTTTCGATTTTTTTCATATTTTTCCTGGGGAGACCCGTGCAGAAAGTGCGATTTTGGGGTATGGCCCACTGGGAAGGCTATATCTTGGCCAATTCTCATCCGATTCTGGCGAGAAGTACCTTAAACGATTTGTGGATCGATTCTCCACCATTATGCATCAAAACCTGGCAACAAAATATTTTTTCGATTTTTTTCATATTTTTCCTGGGGAGACCCGTGCAGAAAGTGCGATTTTGGGGTATGGCCCCCTGGGAAGGCTATATCGGCCAATTCTCATCCGATTCTGGCGAGGAGTACCTTAAACGCTTTGTGGATCGATTCTCCACCATTATGCATCAAAACCTGGCAACAAAATATTTTTTCGATTTTTTTCATATTTTTCCTGGGGAGACCCCTGCAGAAAGTGCGATTTTGGGGTATGACCCCCTGGGAAGACCATATCTC